CTAACCTTACTTTATCTAACTCTTACCCTAATCTTAAAGAGGTTAATTTTTTCTTTTAATAAAAATTAATTATTTTAAGACCAAATCTTTAATACTGTGCATTTAGAGAATAATAAAAAAGTGCATTTATAGAGTCAAGTATATGTTTGAACTGAATTTATAATTAATTTGCATGATATTTAACAATTTTATTCTCACAAAATACATAATGAAATATGCATCCTTTATATTGAAATAAACTTTTATTTTTTTGATACTATCATAAGAGAGTGGTTAAATTTGCACTACTATGTATGTTAAAACTGATTAGTAGTATTAGAATTATACCTGAATAGCAATTAAATTAAAAGTTTATTAATAGTGGATATTAACAAATTACAAGATTGTACATTTTGATTGAAAGTTTTTTTAATAAAACTAAACTGATAATGATAATAGTTTCTGTACAGAATATTCAATGTTTGATTATTATTTAATTATTTCAACTTGATTTTATATTAAAAATAGATAAAAAAAAAAAGATGGTTTCAATATAATGAACTTATAAATTTTGTTGTTCAAATACTAATAACAATTAAATATAGCGAAATGTTGGTTTTAATCTAATAAAACCTATTATATATAAAATTCGATTATTATAGTCATAACAACAAAATGGACAGATCATATTAAAGCTTTGGGCTGATATTTTTGGTTAATTTAGACATATAGCAGAATTATCATAGAAAATTAAACAGTATTAAATTAATTTATTTGACACTTTAATAAAAATTAGACTGTATTAAATTAATTTATTGAGCACTAATTACTGTGTTTAAACAAAATATTTATTTTTGAACGTTTAGCAATATTACGTATCATGAAACATGGTTTTAGGCCTTTATAAAAGCATGATACAGAAAAAATTGATTACGATATTTTATTAAAATAGATATTTAACATATATACCAAATTTGAATATGATCATCACAAAATCCAAATCAGGTGGGATACATATAGATGCACTTGCTACAACGTAACCATGCTGCAGTAGTGAATAACAAATATGAAATTTTGTAAATATGATTATAAATTCATTTACAAAAAGCTACTAAAAAATATCAATTTTAATATTTATTAAATATATGTTTAGCATTTGTTACGTAATCATAAATTTTCAATTTAGAACTTTTTTTTTAATCATAATATTTATTCTTACAAACTTCTTTGTTAATTTCATTAAGATGAACTGGCTGAAGTGAAGAAATGCCTAAAGAATGAAAAATATTGTGAAATCTAAATTCAAGAAAGATAAATGTAATAAGTCTATATAAAATTAATTTCAATTACAAATAAAGAATATTATATATCTAACATCAAGATATTTAATTTCCTATTGGCAAATGTAGATTTACAAATTGTGGACAATGATGCATTCTTAATACACGTTTACTTAAATAAGATACTTAGCAGAAACTTGAATTTTTGCTATTTATGATTATTATATAATAGTTATATAACTATTATATAATAAAAATATGATAAAAATAGGGTGCTGGTATTCATATCCCCCACTTTTGGTATTTGTACCCCCATCACAAAAATTTTTGATGATTACATAATCACGTGATATATCTTGTATGTGGTTCTTACATAACGCACTATATATATCAGTATATGCTATTTTGCAGATAACATCAATCTGTATAACTTAAATGTGTATTTTTAATAGTTAACTACGTATTAGTATAGTTACAGTTATCTATAGTTCGAGTATTTAATTGTAGTCACACCATTAATGTTCGCAAAAAAGAGTCTTACTTGCCAATATCATTCGCTTTATTATTTATTACTTCATATCATCACTACATGCCATGTAACTATTTACTTAGTTTCATCATTACGCATAAAATCGTTATACATATGATTATTATGCATAGTTTGTTATGCATAAAATCGTTATGTAAATTGATACATAGTTTCGTGATTGTATAAAAGTAAAAATCTAGAAAAGAAAAAGTTCAAGTATTATTAAACATATAAAAAGACATGTAAAAAGCTCTTGGTAAAGGCAGAATTTGAATGCCTAAAATACTTATCTTTAATAAAGTACAAATTTTTTAAAACCAAAATTTCTTAACTTATTGATTGATTACATTATGCTTCCACCACCTTTAGTACCATACAATACTGCAGATGAGCTTTTCCAAAGTGTTTAACAATTCGCAAACTCACAAGGTTATGCATTAGTAAAAAAAAGAACTCGTAAAGATAGACATGGTGAATTAAAAAACATGGAATTACGTTGTGATCAGGGTGGTATATATAATAACACAAACCTGACTGAATCTACACACAATAGACAAAGTAGTACTAGATTAAATGACTGTCCCTTCAAATTATATGCAGCTCGACGTAATGGTTTATGGCATCTTGAAGTTTGTAATTCAGAACATAATCATGAACCTTCAAGTGATATGTCAGGACATCCAATTGCCCAAAGACTTACTAACCAGCAGTTAGAAAGTGTTGCAATGATGACTATTGCTGGCTCACGTCCTCGAGAAATTATTTCAACTCTTCGACAAAATAATAAATCAACGTTAGTTACTAATAGTGCTATTTACAATGCACGTAAAAAACTTCAGCAACAGAATTTAGCAGGATGTACTTCAATTTAGGCTCTTATAAATAAACTTCAGGAAGATGACTTTTCATTTGATTATAAATGTGATGATATTGAAGCTGTTACTCATTTGTTTTTTGTACATAAAGAATCTATTACTCTTACTCGACAATATCCATTCGTGCTTCTTATGGATTGTACCTACAAAACCAATAAATTCAAAATGCCCTTATTGAATGTTGTTGGTATAACCAGTTACAACACTACCTTTTTCTCTTGCTTTACCTTTATGAAAGGTGAAGATAAAGATGATTATAAGTGGGCGTTAACACGGGTTGCTCAATTATTTAATGAAGGATCAAGGCCTGGAGTTATTTTAACAGACAGGGAATTAGCTCTTATGAACGCTCTTGAGACAATTTTCCCCGATTCGATTCATTTGCTCTGCGTATGGCATATAAGTAAAAATATCTTAAAAAATTGCAGATCGCAATTCTCAAAAGGTACAAAAGACAATAATAACAATGAGTGGAAAGACTTTCTTGGAAGATGGAATGATATTGTTAGTTCAGAATCTGAAGATGAATTCGATACAAAATGAAAAAATTTTTGTTTTACTTATAATAATAAAGCCAGTGTTATATCCTATCTTGAAGAAACACGGATGCCATGGAAAAAATAATTTGTAAAAGCTTGGACTAATGAAATTTTTCATCTAGAAACAACAGTGACTTCTCGTATTGAAGGCTCACATGCAGTTCTTAAATCATATTTACAAACATCGACAGGAGACCTTCACTGAGTTTGCACAACAATTACTCTAGCTATTACCAACCAAAAAAAAGAAATTGATTTAATGATTGAGTCAGAATGCATTCATATTCCAATTTTTGCATGCAATAATTTTCTATATGCAAATCTTAGAGGCAAAGTCTCAGTCTTTGCTCTCAAAAAAATAAATGAGCAGCATAAGCAAATTACTTTACAAGAACAACTGCTACCATGTACCGGGTCTTTCTCAAGAACAATAGGCTTGCCTTGTGCTCATTATATTCAAAATTTAGATGTTAATCAGAGTATACCACTTGAAAATATCCATAAGCACTGGTGGATTCAAGAGCGCCCACCAGTACCACAAATTGAAGAAAATATTTTCTATCACGAAGACCTATTGCAGCCTCTTTTGCAGAACATAAAGGAAAGATATCAAGAATGGCCTGAACATCAACAAATAGCTGCCAGAGAAACATTAAATAATATGATTGATTCTCCAATAATGACTCTGCAAAATCCTCAAGTAGTTCGCACTAAAGGACATCCTCCTGGTGCTCCAAATAATCAACAAACTAATACTACAAGAAGAGAACCTTCTGGATTTGAATTTGTTGAACCCAGAACAAAGCAGTGTTCTATTTGTAAACAGTCTGGGCACAATGCACGTACTTGTCTAAATAGAAGTAGTACAGAATAAAATATTTAGTTATAGATCATTTTACTTGAACAATTAGGTTATATATAGCTTTTCAAGTTTCTTCATAAATAGAGTAGTAAGATAATCGTCTATTTCATATTTGAGTAATGAATGGTCAATCAAATATAGCATTCAAAAATAAATTCAATTTTGAATCTTTTAACTGTATTAGAAGTAAATTCAAATACTTTCTCTTTTAACCAGTCATTAAATCTTATAAGTTTCTATAAAAATAGATTAGCAAAGAATAAAGTGTTAGTCATTCATTTATATTTGAGTAACAAACTTGCTAATTAGTCGTTGCATCAAAAATAAATTCAAGCTCAACTTATACCTACATTAAAAGTAAATCTAATTGTTTTCGCCCCTAATAAGTCATTAAATAAATGTATATTCAAATTCTTACACAAACAGAGCGGTAAAAATAAAATGTTTTATGTTTAAGTAATCAGTCATGGCATTCAACTTTTACTATATTATAAGTAAATCCGGTCGAATTAGTTCTTTAGTTTTCAATCGAAAGCATTATTTTAATGATCTATTATGTTATCATGTGATCATTGGAGATTTTCGCGATGGGGGATACGAATACCAAAAGTGGGGGGTATGAATACCAGCACCCTAAAAATATGATAAACATCACTTGTCAAGTAGTTAAAAAATACTTAATAAGTACTTATTTGAGCTAAGATGTGTTGGATAGTAATTACAAATACTTATTATAAGTATTTATTAAATAATTAAAAATTAAGTACTTAATAAGTATAAAATTTTATATT